CGATGCGTTGACCCACAGGGGACGACACGTTGGGAGATGGCTAAAGTTTTGTAAAGCTCAGGAGGAAACACAGCCACCGAGGCGATAACCCACAGGGGACTCCGCGTCAGGTGTGTCTAACCTTTGTAAAGCTGAGTAAGGAGCTCATCTGCGATCGATACGGGAGATGGCTAAAGCTTTGTAAAGTTTAGGAGGGAATGCAGCCACTGAAGCGATGACCCATAGGGGACTCCGCGTCAGGTGTGACTAAACTCTGTAAAGCTAAGTAAGGAGCTCATCTGCGACCGATGTGGGAGATGGCTAAAGCTTTGTAAAGCTTAGGAGGAAACGCAGCCACCGAGGCGATAACCCACAGGGGACTCCGCGTCAGGTGCGTTTAAGCTTTGTAAAGCTGAGTAACGAGCTCATCTGCGATCGATACGGGAGATGGCTAAAGCTTTGTAAAGTTTAGGATGGAATGCAGCCACTGAAGCGATGACCCATAGGGGACTCCGCGTTAGGTGCGGCTAAACTCTGTAAAGCTGAGTAAGGAGCTCATCTGCGATCGATGCGGGAGATGGCTGAAGATTGGTAAAGCTTTCGCAACGCTACAACTGAGGCGATGACCCGCAGGGGACTCCGCGTCGGGAGGGTTGAAGCTTCGTCAAGCTGTGGACAGCATTTGGTGAGGCGGGGGATAGACATCCTGTGAATAAGTCTCGAACTATAGGAGCCTTAGTGACTTGCCTCGGAATGACGAGGACTTTGAGTCAGGCTCTGCGATAGTGAGAAGTGAGGAAGACATCTTGTGGAGCCTTGAATGAATATTTGACGAATTGTCAAACTGTCGGAGTCTTATAAACTGGCCTCAGATAGACGAGGACTTAAAGATAGCTCGGCGATAGTGAGGCGGGGAATAAGCATCCCACGAAGCCAGGGATAAATATCTGATAATTTGCCTCGTCCTTTATTCAAGGAACATAGACTTATAAGATACCGTCTCTTCCTTTATTCAAGAAACGAGGACTTGTAACATATCGCCTCTTTCTTTATTCAAGAAATGAGGACTTCGGATTGTGGCCTCTTCTTTAAGTGATGGTGGGTTGGTTCGGTAATTCTTCCACTTAAAATTATAGCCTTGGCGATTAGTAGTTGAAAGGGCCTTGAATAAGAGAAATCTCTGCTTAAGCATCTCATTGTACACTTTGTGGGCCTTTCCCAATATAGTGAGATGGCCGAGGTTTGTAGTCTGCCCGCAAAGTTGTCAAAATTTATAGTAGCACATCTCACGCATCTTCCACATTTGGTCATAGTAGAAAATGGAATAAATCCACTAGGATGCGAATTAAAGAATTTGACAGGCTCAAATTTTTCGCTTGGACATTGCCTCTCAATAACTCCCAACGGAATGCCATGCCCAAGACCCCAATTGAAGCCACACTAGATTGCATAATAAGTTAATAACCTTTGTTTGATTGTTGGCACAAGCTTTATGTCATTGCAACCTCAAATTTTGTTGTGGAAAATTAACAGCCGTGTCGTTTTGAACGGTAAACCTCATGGATCTGCCCAAGTTGATTGCAGAGGCCAAAGTAGAAGGACCCGAAAGAACCGAAGCCGGGAAGAGCAAAAGTCTGGGAAAACAGAAGTTGAAGGGCGGAAGGCTGAGGTGGGTAAAAAACCGAAGTCATCCTTCTAGACGATTCCAGCAGCCGAAGTGAAAGCCCCCAAAGTGGAAGAACCGAACTAAAAAGATTGAAGTGGAAGGCTGAAATCTGTCTTCTGCTGCGATTTCAGCTAACCGAAGTGTTCAACAAGCCCAGGTGATTGAACATACTTGGAAGGGTTGTGAAAGATGCCAAAATTTACCTCATAGGTAAGTCAATTGTAGCAGCCAGAGTGAAAGAGCCGAAGTGGGTGGAAGAACCGAAGTCTCTTTTTGTTATGATTACGGCAAACCCGCAAAAATGGAATGTTAAAACAAGGCCGAAGTGAGAAGAATCGAGGTGGTAGAGCTGCAGAACCGGGAAGCTGAAGCGTGAGGTCGAAGCAAGAATCGAAGCGGGTGGAACCGAAGTCATCCTTCCATGGTTATTCTAGCAAACTAGATGTCCAAATGACTCCAGCAGCCGAAGTGGACGGACCGAATTAGAAGGGTCAAGTGGAAGGATTGAAGTCTATGATTACAGCAAGTCGAAGTGTTCAAGAAGCCCAGCTGCCTTAATATATTTGGAAGAGATGTGGGCCAAGAGAAATAAACTTGTTGAGCTCAATATTTCTGTGGCTCAATGAAAATAAATGATAGTATTCATACCCATTACTGGATCTCAATTAGAAGCTTTTAAGCCCTTCTTTCTTCGTGGACTGTTGGGCCAGACTTTAAGAATTAAAACCAACCACTTAATGGTATGACCCGGCCCAACAAGAAGACAATAAGCAGCACGTGGAGTAGCTGAAATCTGATGGCAAGTAGGTAGCAAAAGTCTGGAAAAATAGAGATTGACAGCCCATCCTACATGCTACCATCAAATCTTATACCCATCAACATTAAATGCCAAAATCCGGTGGCCAATATCAGAACTCATGCATCTCCGGCCACATGGAGTTTTTCGTGCATCAACAGCTTCATGGGATGAGAAAATATTTCGGTTTGGGACATTTCATCGAACATCCATTGGGCGATCAAAAATGGAGTGATTTGTAGCAATTAATTTGTAAACACTTTTTTCCACACCCACTCTTCCACCATCTTCACAACAACCATAAATTCAAACCAACCATTTCAAGAGGAAAAGAACTTGAGAATAAAAGTGCTTACCGGACAGCTTTTTGCAAAGCCTGTTGCCATGGCAGTGGAGAGGCTCAACAATGTAGCATGCTGGGCTGCCAAAATTTTTTATTTTATTTTTTATTTTTTTATTTTTTCTGACCATGGTAGTATCTTCTTGCAGCAATGGAGTGGAGTCTTACCTGTTTTGTTGGTGTCAGGCTCCAATTTTTGAGAAGAAGCAGTGGAAAGACCCCCCGTTTGCTCGAGAGTTTTAGGTAGACAATTGACTTCATTTTTGTGGTGTGTTTTGCATTTTCTTTGCTGCTGGGCTTCTCCAACGAGTCGGTGGAAAATGGACCAGCAATAATGGGGAACAAACAGAAATCCCTTTCACCACCCATTTGTAAATGCTTATGGAATAAGAGGCACCTTTTTCTTTTTGTTGTTACATTGTCTGCTACCTCGATTTCTTGCCGAAAAATCTCCTTTTTCGAGGAATTTTACACGCCTCTATTAGTCCTTCTAGTGGCTATGTTTTTTGCCAAAGATAACCATTTTCATGGTGGGTTTTTCAACCCTTTATTGGCTAGCCATCACCATTTTTTATGGCAGATTCCAGTAGTTCCATTTTATTTTCTTTGGCTGTTGTTCTTGCTTCTTTTTGGTAGAACAAAGTTGGCAGGAAATTTTTTGATTTCCAGTGAACTTTTGTGCGTGGATTTTTCAACCTTTGATGGCCGAAAATCTCCTTTTTCAAGGAAATTTCCATGCCTCTCAGTTAGTAGCTATCTTCCATCATTCTTCTTCATTTCTTCGTTGCTGTCTTCGCTCATTTGGTACAACACTGGCCGGAAAATAAAATCCTTTTGTATGTGGTATAACATGGTTAATGTAACGATTTCCACAGACGGCGCCAAACTGTTGACCTCCAAAAATGACTCCAACAGGCACCCTAGCTTTGTCCCCTCGAAACCTGCGCATGTAACACCCGTCAAGAGGCAAAGGCGGTCGGACGAGAAAAAGGTCCGACGATCGTTTGCACTCCGACGGTCAAGTCAACGGTCGGACGGAGATAGATATAAAGAGTGCAATAGTAGAGAGATAGGGGATTTGGCTAGAGTATTTAGAACATACCTTAAGTTGTGAATTGAATCCATATATATAGAGAAATGATGTGAAATGGGCCAAGGCAGGTTAATGGGCCTAAGTTTGAGCCCAGTATGAGGTGAGCAAAGTGATAGGCACTTCGGCTGGGCTTTTTATGGCCTCGGTGGCGCCTCGGCTAGGCTTCTTAGAGCCTCGGCTTTGAGGTCCAACACTAATGGGCCTAGCTCGGGTCCAATAAGGTGGCCCAATATGGAGTGATAATTCATAGGCGTAACAGCATCATTAAATTACAATTTAGTTTCAAATTTCTCACTTTTATCACGTCCCATAATCTTTCATTTCCAAACTCAAGGAAATTGTTTAGTCGATAATTATGGAAATAATAAAGTAAGGGTTATGACAATGTCATTAGTTAAATGATTGAAAGATATGTGATTAATCTCCCTTTTTATCTTTTTTTTTTTCCTTTTTAGAATAAAGAAGGAAAGAGAAATAATAAAAATAGATCCAACGTCTGTAAGACGTGACCCAAGTTTGATAACCAATGAAACCAACCAATAACCTCAGTTTTAGCAAAAATTTTCCGACAGTTGACTAGCATTCTCGACTCGTTATCCAATATAATGTTCAAACCAATTGTCCACGATGCATTTTCTGTCAAATAATAGATAGTTGATTATCTAGGTGGCCTCATTGATAGTTTTATAAAGTTGGATGACAAGGTGACAATAATTGCAAATTACAGTAGGCATGGGTGAACTCTCTCTTTTCTTTCATATAAATATGCTACTACTGGAATTTCAACAACAACAACAATAACAATAAAAAAAAAAAAAATCTCAATTGGATTACCAAGTTTTAATTATGTCATCGAACTTCATTTCAGTTCAAAGTTCACCTCTCTCACGTCTTCTAAATTGATAAAATTGTTAAATTGACATACCACGACATATCTTTCACATCATTGCTACATGACTTGCGAATATACCATTAAACATGTTATAAACGTTTAAAGCATAAAATCACCCCTATTATAATATAACAATTTTACATGTACACAAAATTTGCACTTGGATGAAGTTGATCAGACATATCATCAAACTAGTCACATCGTCTTATATGGGACAGTTGATTAAGTGGATGGCCTGAATGACACATTTATATAACATTTGGTGATAGGTATGAAACAAATTAAAGTTGAGGAGGAAAGGTGACATTCAGTAAAAAGTAGGGTGGCCATGGGTGAAATTAACATGAAAAAATGAAGTAATGGAGCCCACCATCGTTCTTACCAGCCTGTAATATAGCTGTGATCACTACTTCCCACCTCCATGCCCATATGCTTCTCTTTGCTTTAAGTTCTTAATACAAACTCCAATTCAACGTTTATTGATTTTTCTAAGCTGAAATGAGCTCAATGTTCCGAGGCAAGCAAGCGCTTCCAGTCTCGCAACCGGAGGAGGGATCAGGAGGCATCCGGAGAAGACTCTCTTCTCTCAACTTCCAACAACGCAGCATCTCCAATTCATGGGCATTTCGCAGATCCAAATCTGTCTCTTCAATGGGAGAATATGCCGGAAATTCCATTAGGAAATGGTGGGATTGGGGATGGACCTGGATCCTCTCCAGAAGACCCACTTTTGCCGAAGATCTGGAGATGAACGAGGAAGAAACAACAGTCCTAGGTTGCCACAATAAAGGCAGCTTGAGACATGTTTTCTACAAGGTCAGGTCTGAATTTAGAAAGCTCATCGGATCCGACAACGTTGGCCTTCCTCAAACCTTTCGCTACGATTCCTACAATTACTCCAAAAATTTCGAGAATGGAAGCAGATCAACAATCCTTGCTCATTGAAAATCCATTCTGTAAGATGATTGAATGAAGATTTCGCTGTCCACGCTTGTTTTTTGTCTTGTCTTTTAGGGCAATTGTCGACGGGATTCAGCAATTCTTGCTGCTTGATATTGTATTTTTCTGCGTGTTCTATATATATAGTAGTGGTAGATTATGTAATGAATGATTGTTTCATTTATTAAATTTGATGTTTAATTCGCTCAACTTCTATGTAATTGCGTATATCAGTAGCGTATAAACCAGCAATTTCAAAGTTCCTTGATTTAGATTTCTGGATTTTTGGGATTTATTTGGTACGGTTAACATGGAGCATTATTACCAACAATCACTATTTGTGAATAGACGTGAAAGCCAACCTTCAAATTTTGCGTTTTTTTATTTTTTATATTATTTTAATTTTTTAATCAATCGAAAAAATTATTTAATAATTAAAATAATGCATACCAAACATCTAAAATTATAAACTACTATATTTACATAATAATTTATACAATTAATCAATTATACAATTTTCAAATTTTTGAAATATAAAGTCTAGATTATTTTTCATAGGTTTAACTTTCAACTAAACAATTTAAATAAGGGTTTTCAAAAAAATATTAATAAAGCGTAAGTTGCACATTAACAATTGACCGCTTAATTTCTCGCTTACTTCCGAAGCGTAGCATTCGCCCACACCACCTAAACAAGCATTTTAGAAAATGCTAGCATGTTAAAATTTTATTTCATTCTATCACCATACTATAGCATCTTTATATTTCTTCTATGTCCATGAATTCAACATGGATGCTTGGTTCATGTCCTTGTTTGAGCCCATTTTTGTTATAAAAATACATTTTCGAATAGTACATTGATGTGAAATATGTGATTAAAAAATAAAAATAAAAAAATTTTAAATTTGCGTGTAATATTATTTTATTGAAAAATATATGATTAAAATAATGTCAAAATATTGTTTAAAAATGTGTTTTTTTTTTTTTTTTTCAAAAAATAGGGATCGAAACAAGGGCATATAAGGTTAACTTCACCATCTTGGTCATTATTTTCATACAACATACGGAAGGTGCTTTCCTTTAGGACCAGTTGTGGGGCGAAGAGCAGGGCCAGTAGGTGCAAGTGGATGTAATTGTACCCACTGGGCCCTTAATTTTTGAAATTTACAAAGTACTCCACAAAATTTTTTAGTCCATAATTTTTACATAATTCTTTATCGCCGACACTGAATCATGTTCTTGAATCCTCCTCGAGGAGGGATTCAAACTCATAACAACAGTATGGTTCATCGTCACATGTTTTAATCCTTTGAGCACATGCTCCACCCTGTTACTAGTGGATCTATTCCCTAAGTACCTTAGAAAATGGAAAAAAAATCATCACCCCAGCATTTCATTTCAAGTTATGCTGCCTGGATTGCTAAAGTGCAATATTCAGAAGTATTGCTAGCCTAGGTTTCAACCATTCTAATAAAAACGGACAACTTATAAGACTAAATACTCCTTGTTCAC